TGCCTGTGTCCGTTTCCTACTGTGTCCGATTGCAACCATCATGTATCCGTTTCCTACTGTGTCCGATCGTGACTTTGTCCGATTTATTCTGTGCACAACTGGGACTCACTCGCATACACAGTAGACCTTAGAGCTGGCAATGAATTTTGAAACACAGGGACTGCCAATATAGACAGACGCACGGCATCTCGTGACGCCTTTGTTCATGGCAAGGCTAACTTTAAGGCTAGGTTTTTCATTTTCTGGTTAATTGTTAACCACAAGTTAGTCGACTCTCTATCTTTCTTTATATTATTATCTAAACAGAGTCGACTAACCTCTAGTTAACAATCAACCAGAAAATGAAAAACCGGACCTAAGAGAGAGGTAAATTAAAAGTTAAAAACCTAGCGGAAAAAATTTCTATAAGTAGCTACAAAAAATTTACTTGAAATAAAAATTTGTAGAAATTTTTATATCTTCGTTGAAATATTAATTTTTTTGTAAAAATATCCACGAAATAGTACCACAAATTACAATGTTCTCAAATGAAGAAATTATTGCAAGTAGTATTGCACGAAAATGTACAATTTTGTAAAAATTAGTACAAAACTTTACTAGTTGTAAAAAGTTGAGAAACAACAAAATCTTACAGAATTAAACCATCTGCTTACTTGTAGAATATTACAAAAATTAGCAAAAGTGTTCCATTTCTAGCATTTTCATGTTGATTTTTATAACATTTTTTAAATTTACGTAGAATTTCTTAAATTCTGGCAGTTATATTTAATTTTTTTGTAGAATTTTGTAGAATTATTTCCAGCAGGGTAGTTACCGATAAAATGTAACTAAATTCAATTAAAAGTTAACTACTACATAATCTACAAAATGTAACAAAAAGTTATTTAACTTTTTAACTTTTTAACTTTTTAACTTAACTTTTATCTTTTTAACTAGATACTACTCAACCCTGCAATTAATTAGTAAACGCGACTCTTACAATTAAAATACAATTTTGAGGTTATGCACACTAAATGTGAGTTATGCGCTGCTACAATTGTAGCAAAAAAGCTGTAGCGCTACGGTAGCAGTATCTTGCCGGAACGTACTCAATGGCATATAAAAAGAGAGAGCAATAGATACCGTAATGGTGTCTCTGTCTAATGTGTGAATTAGTCTCTCTTACTCTTTTCACGTGAAAG